TAGACAAAAAATGATAAATTATAAATATTATAATATAACTAGCGGACCCGACAGACGTTGTCCTGTCTACACGTCTTTAATTTGAAAATTTCAAACTTTTTTTAGTAATTTTTTTGATAAAAATTATTCTTCAAATTGTGAATCTAAACCATTCCCAGATCCCCTTGAACACACACAAAAAATTTCATCAAAATCGGTCCAGTCGTTTGAGAGAAGTTCAGTGACATACACACTCACAGAAGAATTATATATATAAAGATATTCATTTCAAAAAAAAATCATTATGTAAATTACTATAAATTCCCAGTAAAATATTTAATTACGTTGAAATGTTATAAATGGTTAAATTAATTATATAACGTCTAATTTCCGCATTAAAACTTGTTACCTACTGACAAATGGGTAATTGAGTAGGTATGTAAATACGTAGCTATAAGCTTCATCACGGTAATCTATACATATAATAAAATTGTAACTAAGCCGAATCTGTACATTAAATATTTTTTGGAAAATCTTATTGAAATAGACTTTATTATCGATACAGAGGCTGAATCTATAGTTTTTAGAATTTTTGTCTGTCTGTCTGTTACCGCATCACGGGAGACCACTGGACAGATTTTGATGAAATTTGGTATGATGATAGCTGGTTATCCGGGTCAACATATAGGATACTTTTTATCGCGGGAAAATATCTCATTTCTGAGAAAAAATACGAAAACTGTAATGTAAGAGTATACTAATATGTAAAACCTAAGAATTTGATTATTGGTCATCTGAATGCGGGCGGAGCCGCGGGCAATGCTACCTATTACATATTATATTACCGTGGCTTCATCGTCATAGTGGGAAAAGCAATGGCTTTTTTATTCCTGATTTAAATAATTATTCTCCTTCTTAAATTTATTATTTATAATAATACTGAAATCGTACTTTTTTCTGAGAAGATATGGGAAGACGGTCGCGACGAAGCACTTTGCCAATTTCTTCGTGAATATTATCCTTGATTTTAGGTTGATTAAAATATTGAAGGAATTCCAGTGACGGAGGGAATCATATAGCCCGAACTCTGAGCACACCGATTTAAGCTGATCCTCTGAAAAATACATACCTACTTATAAGTTATTATAATAATATTGATAAGAGTTGTTTACAGTTTTGATTGACAAATGAAGTTCATCTATACATATAATAAAATTGTAACTAAGCCGAATCTGTACATTAAATATTTTTTGGAAAATCTTATTGAAATAAGTAGTCATTATTATCGATACAGAGGCCGAATCTATAGTTTTTAGTATTTTTGTCTGTCTGTTACCGCATCACAGAAAAACCGCAGAAAATTTTTTTTTTTCATTTACCATTATCTCTACTTGTATACTATTAGTCAAAGGTTTTGTTTTGCTTCCGTTCTTTACTAAGCCGAATTTATTGCTTTCTTGAGATAATTCTCTTATCATTTGCTCTAGAGTACTGGGGGATTCTTCTGTTAACACTATGTCGTTAGCAAATCTGAGATGGTTTAGGCTCTTATCGTTTATACGACAGCCTGAGTTTTCCCATTTCAAATATAGCTTTAGGTCGACTGTCATGCATGCTGCAATCCTCGATGTGAATGACCTTATTATGGCCTTTTTACGTAGCGTTTTATTCGCACAGTAAGAGCTTTGGGTCTTCGAGCCAATATACTTGAAGATATACTTAAAGATATTTATCGTTATATTGTACTTTGCGTATATTACCTATATATTCAACTTTTTAAGAATTTTGATTTAAAAAATTAAAGATTTTTTACGCCAAATGAAAATATGAAACCATCCTTGGAATACCCTTTGCTAGTCCCGTATCGCACCTTTGTCTAAGCGGTGTGTATGTGTGTCTTGTAATTTATGGGACAGAAACAGTTGAAATTTAGTTGCTGGTAGATGATCCAAAAAGACGTACTTACGTATGTTTTTAATAAAGTAATTTTAATTTTAGAGGGTGTACCAGAAAATGTAAATAAATGACGAATCAAACGAAAGGACTTGTTCATTACTGTGGAGTTTTTAAATAGAATCCAACTCAAAATTTTTCAGTTATTTTTTTACCAGTATGACTATTTTCCCAGTTATTACCTTATTATAAAATGCTTTATATATAATTTATGAAACCTAATTATACTACGAAGCATGTAGAACTCAGTCTTAATAACACTATTAAAGTTTTCTAATATGTCTTTAATTTAATATATTAAAAAAAGTAATGATTAATTATAGTACATGCTACGAAATTACTTTAATATTCTAATGAGAATTCGATTTAGTATAAATAGTGTTACGTTCAATAAGTTCGGGGATAGCACGTCTTTTGCCCTATCGATGTTTTATTGCTTAAGAGTGACTTAAATGGAGACACGCATTGTATTTACATAGTTCTGGTTAAACTCAGTCACTGAACACTAATTTTTACCACTAGATACACTTTCACTATAACTTCACTTGTTACTTTTTTCGTACTTCTTCTCAATCTCCACTTAACTTCGAAATTCCACTGATCTCTCTACACGCTGCTTTTTATATGCATAAACAAAGAACATTCTAGTATTCGAAAAATCGAAACCTTTCTAGTCGCTTCGAATGTTTTGTTCCTTCTCTCACTGTTACACACGGCAAGTTACGATTAACTGTTCTTGTCTGAATTCGTACCTTCTAGTAATTTCGATGCTTCTCTGAAAATGTTTTGTCAACTGTAGGATGCAAAAAACAAGCTTCAGACGTGCCTTTTTAATCATTATTTTTGGTGTAATGAAGTAACACACTCTCCATTACGCGACAATAGTATTATTTAATATGTTTTTCTATTGTTCCCTTATCAGTTTATAGAAATAATTGAACTGGAATAATAGCATCCTTGCTAAAAAGATTAACAGATGAAGATTTTGATTACCTACAATCATATTTACAATGACATATTTTATGAATTTCATCCACAAATCAAAATTTTACTTTTATTTAATGGACTATTATTTTATATTTAACAACGCGGATTCTCCTGTTAGGTATCACTAATTAAAATTAACATTGTATTCTCTACTAGCAATACCCGCGGCTTCGCCCGCGTCCAAACTTCCAATCGCTGACAAAATTCACAGGATCACCCACTGGGCTAATCTGAAAATTACCTGAAAATTTCATCAAAATCGCTCCAACTGTTGTGGAGTTTATAGGAAACATACATCTACACACATCTATTTTTATTTAATTTAATCAACAATTTAAATTTATTTATTGCTTAGAAAATGGAGTCTATTATGAAAGTTTTGTGGCACACCGACTGCAGCGCCATCTACTGGGTCCATTTGTGTTTTCAAACCTTGTAGGGACCTACTCGAACATACACAAAAAATATCATTAAAATCCTCCATGCCGTTTAGTAGATGATCAGTGGCACAACGACTATATATACGTATATATTAAGATAAGATATGTATATATTTAAGATTAAATTAAAACATATTACTGTTGTTACGTAAGATAAGAATTAAAATGTTTAATTCATAATACTCGATCCATCGCTCGAATGTTTATTAGATAAAATGACTAAATTCGTTATTATAATTCGGCTGTCGCGTCGGTATTGCCTATGCTGGTAGTACCCAAGTCTACTCATAATTTTTTTTTGTATCTTGGAGATCTTAATCTTATAAATGACAGGTATATTTTATATGCGGCAATATTTCTATACCTAGCAGCTGAAGCGAACAAGAAAATTGAAATTACAAAATTATGCCATAAATATATGGTACTCGTTATAGGAAAAAATTATATATTATACATTATCAAGTATATCTACCATATCATATTTATTTGGACGGTAATTAGGTTAGATATTATGTCCTAGTCCGAGGTCATTGAGCCACACTAGTATGACTTACTCGTATCGTATCGTAGGTATAGTTTTATAAAGATACAACAAAAAAATTAAATTAAAATTATTTATTATCAAATATTATAAAAGTACTTATTTATAATTATCTTTATTGTCTTTTTCAAAGCAATATTTATTGCATTTTGAAACATTGTTGTCCCTCAAAATAACTAATGGTTGAAAGAAGACATATTAAGACTCAAATTAATTTACTAAGATTATAAGTTAATTATACTAAATAAGAATGATACAAAACCAGATTCTGCTATACATAAAAGTATAAAGGGACTTTACATATTATCAAATAAGACTAGTTAAGGGCCGTTCTCTACCGTGAAAACTGTACAATATATTGTTAGTTAGTTACACTATAATAATAATATAAATATTATATATTAATTATATACAAGTAGGAGTAGTTTTTTTTAACGAATTAATGTAATACGTCATTCCTTTTCGTAATGTTGTTTGAGGTGTTACTCAGAATTTGTGTAAAATAATAAAAACTGTGGGCCGTTACATCAAATTTAAATTGGCCTACCTAACCTACTTCTGAAAAACCCTCGTAACAATATATCAAAGTAGAGAAAAAATAATCTCTTTTAGTTATTATTACTTCAGCGAGAGGTTATCTTTTAGTAAACAATACATATAAACTTACATAAGCAAGAAAAAATATATATTTGTTATATTATTTAGGGTAATAAAAAAATACGTTATATACCAACAAGGTTTTGAACCTTGAAAAGCATAGTGACTGACGACAATCAAATTAAGTAGATCATAGTGATAGCGTGAGTATTTTAAAAACATTATATATGTAATATGTATATACAATATACCTACGTTCTGAAAAAAAATATTACTTGCAATATAAATAACATGTAAAATAAAAGTAAAATATTTCAAAAACGTAGCTTACCGAAAATAGCATCACTTTAACCTCTAAGTTATTCACTCTTTAGGTATAATAAATACATTTAAAACTCCTATTTGCCAAAAATCGATACATTTATTGCCACAGTATATAATAGTTTTTTAAAATTTTGAAAATCTTGCAATCAGTTGACACATTATTCGGTTATACCATCTCACGAATGTGAGTGCGCATAATTTCGTGGTTTGACTCGAATCCAGAAGTCGGGAAGATTTGTGATGAGTCCTTGAATTTTTGGTTCTATTTTCCTTGGTTTTCCGTCTGCTGTGGAAATGGTGAACGCCTGCATGAAACCAGCGAAAACTTGGAACATTCCTTGACGGGCAAAAGTTTCGCCGGGACACAATCTCCCACCTAAAATAAAGCATGATAAATTATCACAGGCAGACAGACATCGACGTCAAACTTATAACAGTCTCTTTTTGCGTTGGGGGTTAAAAGCACAAACATATTATGAATATAAATACCCATGACTGGAGTACTAGCAAATTAATGCCACCAGCGGGACTCAAACCCGCGACCCCTGGCACAACAAGCAGCTTTATTACAAACTAAGCTAACATGTCTCACTGTCTACGCCTCAGTCGTATGGTGTAACAAAACCAAACAAAAGACAACTATAAGTAAACTAGACAGTGTGCAACGGATGGCATGTCTAATTATCACAGGAGCCTTTCATTCGGCACCAGGAGACGCTCTAAATGCTTTGTTGGACATAGCTCCGCTATATCTCCACGTGCAAAAAGAAGCTAAATCCTGCCTCTACAGGCTCTGTACACAATCGAATGTAAGGTTGCAATCGCAATATATGAACAAACTCAAAGAGTTGACATTCGAACATAAAACTCTAAAAATGCCAGTGGATGGCATGAGCACAGAGTTTAACTTCATAAAACAGTACCAAATAGATCTTCCCAACCGGGACATGTGGCTAAAAGACCAAGTGTCTCACAAAAAGGGCAGTCATGTTTGGTTTACAGACGGATCCAAGAAAGGATCTGATGTAGGGTGCGGTATCTATGGCCTAAAGCCTAGATTTAACATGAGTATCAATCTGGGCAAAGAGGCCACCATCTTTCAAGCAGAGGTCTTCGCCATTAACAAATGTGCTGAAGTCATCCTGGAAAGAAAGCTTAAGAACCAAAATATCTACATCAACTCAGATAGCCAAGCAGCACTTTTGGCTATAGATTCTCTTGAGACCAACTCTAAGTTGGTCAAAGACTGTATGAATAATCTGAATGTCCTGGGCACATCCAACAGAGTTATCCTCAGATGGGTCCCGGGTCACTCAGGTATAGACGGGAATGAAAAGGCCGATGCCTTGGCAAGAAGGGGCGCTGAAACCCCAGAATTTGGCCCCGAGCCATTTTGTGGTATTGCCAAACAATATGCCTATTCAATTCTCAAAAACCACTGCAATCTCAAAGCACTTCAAGAGTGGCAATCCACTTCTGGACAAACACACTCTAAAGCGCTAATTAAGGGATATCGCAAAACCTTTACAAAAGAGTTGCTTCAACTCAACAAGTATAAAACCAGTGCGGTAACCAGAATACTTACTGGTCACTGCAAACTCAATAAACATATGTTTACCCTCGGCCTCAGTCAAACCGCAATGTGCAGACTATGCCATGAGACAGAGGAAACTGCTATGCACATCCTCTGCTCGTGCGGTCCACTCATGCACCGCAGAAGTATCTATCTAGGGCAGCATATTATGCAACCAAAAGAGATACAGATTCTCCCCGCTCAGAAAATCTGGAAGTTCCTGGAGTCAACAGGACTAAGCGGAGAACTTTTAACTCATTATAAAGGGAGCTACAATGGACCAAAACTGGTCGACGTAGCTAGGGCCGACCTCGGCACCACACCCAACATAAATAATAATAACATGTCGTCAAAATAAAAAGAAACATCTAGCATAATTGGACTTTCTTAAAATATATTAGTGTTTTATTAACATGGTAGGAGGAATTCTATAATGAGAGACTGTTGCAACTATTTTTATAGTTGCAACAAGAGATCTTTTTAGATCTTAATTATTTTTTCATTTATAATATTAATTTTTAAAAATAAAATGTATGTTCTCTTTATATTGTTGTGAGCTTAATGTTAAAAAAATTACTGTTACCTGCTCCGAATGGTAGAGATTTATCTTTGGACAAGTCTAACTGCCCATTTACGATGAAACGTTCTGGCCTAAAGTTTTCTGGGTCGCCCCACAGTTCCTTGTCGTTGTGTAAAGTTGGGTAGTTAAAGGTAACGATAGTGTTCTGAAATAAAATGAGTACGTTTTATTTTCAATGACGATAAAATATGAACATTTTATTATTATATCAATAAAATCAATAAAAAAATATCTGAAATTGATTTTGGAATATACTCTTGATTGCTTTTGCACTAGTTTTGGATGTAGTATCTTGGTTTTGTTTCAAAATAGAGGCGTTTGGAGAACGAGATAAATAAAGAAAATATTTACAACATTCTAAATTATCAACAGTACTAATTAAAGTTATAATACAGTAAAAATATTATTTGACTTATTTTATTATTATAGCGACTCACCCTCGCTTCGCTCGGGCTCGTCCCTTGGTGCGTTTTGATTTTTTTAGCAGAACCCTAATTCTTTATCTAAAAGAAAAGTAGCCTAAGTTACACCTTATAACATCAGCTATCTGCCAGTGAGATTTCGGGTCTTTAGACAAACGGACAAAAATGTTAAAAATTGTGTTTTTCTTATATTAGTACCGTATATAATTTAGTAAAAATCTGTAAAGTATTTTGTTATTTTGATATTACAAACAGACACATCAATTTTATTTATTTATATTTATATAAATACATTACCTGTGGGATATCATAACCGTCGAGCTTTACGTCTTTCATGGCACGGTGAGGTATTCCAAGAGGCACTAATGTTTCCACTCTCATTACCTCGCGAATACATGCTTCAGTGTACGGCATACTGTAAAGAAATTACATACAAATGAAAGTAGAAATTAGTGTATTGACATTGTCAAATACCTTCTATAAATCTTAATTAAGAACAAAATTAAATTCATCAGTGGGTAGATCCCATAAAATTTACTTTGACATAGAGTGTATCGTTTTCGAACAAATAAAAAAAACATGAAATAAACAAATAAAAAATAAACAAGAATTTTTAAAAAGACTTTTTAGATCTAACAAATGTAAGTGTAGTGTTTTTGTACTGTCACATATGTATGTATGTATGTACCTACAATATATTGACTTCAAACTTTGCAAGTGTTTGTATGTAATTATGATGTAACTACAAAACGGTTTCCGGATTTTTCCCTTTACTTGTGCTATAAGACTTTGATTCTTGCCAAATTTCATAATTCTAGGTCAACAGGAAGTACCCTACAGGTTTTATCTCCACGAGATCCAGAGAAAAACAGTTTTGACAGACAGACAAACATACAAATTTACTAGAAATATCTAATCAGATATTTTCGAAGTCGGTGCCATTCCTACTATTCCATCCGTTTTGACTATGACACTAATCGCACTATGATAAGGATGGAAAAAAGATTGAAAGGAAGCTAGAGCAAGAGAAAGCTATAAGTAATAGATTTGATATTTTGTTCTTAAATATATGTAAACTTGTTTTAAATATATATAAATAGTTATTAGTCAGCGTTAGCCATATAATTTTTATTTTCCGTTAATTTTTCATTTTTTTCTCTTTATTAAAACCTTTCGTGGGCCTTAAGGAACATACGAAAATATTTTTTGCCGAATTGGTCCAGCCATTCCTGAGTTATGCGCTTACCAACATTCATTTTTATTTATATAGATAGAAGATTATTGGCAAAAGTAACGACTTTCTAACTATTGACTGTATTTAACTAAATTTCCCTTCTTAGATTTATTGTTTAAAATAAATAGTGAAATGGTACTTTTTCCTGTCGTCCAACGTGGGAAGACGGTCGCGACCAACTACCCTGTCAATTTCCTCGTGAATTTTGTCCTGAACTGTTGGATGATGTAAGATTCTCTCGACCAATAGTGTCAACACTGTAGCAAATGCAGAAGCGGCGGGAATCATGTAGTCAGTCAACACTAATTTAAACTGATCATCTGAAAAGCAAAAAGGTATTAATTAGTTTCTTTTTTCTATAATGTATGTACATAATACTAGTAATATAACAATAAAATTTTAATTTTAGTATTATATATAAAATGTTTACTATAAGTATAGTATAATTCGATAAACTTTATTTACTTTAACACGCAGGTAAAAAACAAATGAAACTATTTCCAATGTTATATGTCAATGTTTGTGTGTTTATCATTAAGTTTAATTCATTGTAACTATAAACTTACCTGAGAATGTGCTGCGTTCAGTCTTTTTCCTTTCTTCGTTCATTTGTCGCAAATAAGTGTCAATAAAATGACGGTCGTGGGAAGGATCGTGGTTCTTTTTGGCGTCATTGATAATGTCCTATAGTAAATATATAACATAATTATTATGAAGCATGAATTTTTCATCGATATTTATGATATTATATCGATGCCAGCTGAAGTTTAATACATAGAGACTTATTAGTTATAAGGTCTTGTTTGATATTTTAGGTATTGCTTTAAGACAAGTTTGAAGTGAGGGTTGTGAAGTGTGGATGCGCAGAGCGAGTAGGTTTTTTAGAAAAATGCTATCTGTTTCATACCGCTCGCTTTGCCAACCTATACGTTGCGAGAGAGATGGCAGATTTCACCAGCGTCACCTAAGTTTAAGGGATCTCCTAAGTATGGTTAGGGGGCTGTTAGGGGACAGTTTCTGTTTCACCGACAGTTAGAGGTCACCTAAATGTTAGAATGCCACCTAAATATAGGTAATAGAAATACGGGCCCTGACGATGGTAAAATGAATTTAATTTAGGGGCTAGTTTAGGGGAACTTTTAAGCTAGGGATCCCATACGTAGATGGTAGCTTATGGGATGTTGGTGAAATCGGGCATAAGAGTTGCAAATCTTAGAAGCAATTACCTACATTTGCTGTTTGAAATATTGTTTCGGGCGATAACATTTTCACCTCCCTAAACATTTACGAAATGAGATAATTTTGGTCTCATTAGATTCAGTACACCTTAATCTATGTTTGTAAGTTTTTCTTTTTTAGTAATTCAGTTTAGTTTAACTAAAAAAATAAAAACGCTCGAGGATGTTTTTAAGTCAAAAATACAGATATTTTAGATGCTAATAACTTCTATCCATGAACGAGTTATTCGTTCGAATTATTCCATGAATGAATTGTGGTTAATTCGTTCATGCTTCTATCATACGCAATATTTCCAAAAAAAAATGAAAATTAGACTATGTTAATGGGGGAAAAACGTCATCGTTTTTTATATATAAATTTACAACTTCACAATTCTCTGATAAATAACTTACCGTGAAGAAATTTAACAAATAAAGACTTGATTTACGTAGGTCTTTGTAACCACTGTAGTTAGGCAGAACATCTTTCAGCCATGGGGTAAGTGATAAAGATCCTCCAAAATCATTGGTTCCTCGTTGAAACATCATGGTCATTCTGCCCAAGTCCCAAATTTTTTTGTATTCAGATCGGGGGAAGACAGTTCTTGTGAAAATGTGCATCATACCATTTATTGAAGGCGCGTCGAAGTAGTGTGGTAGGTATATGAGGTCGCCGTTTACTATTTTCTGAAACGTGAGTATTATTACGTATTAAGAAACCAAATAATCCATAGATAGTAATAATTTAATTTTATCACATCTAGGAAATAATTTAAACTTTATACAGTGCGGCTTTTTAAGTTTATACAGTGTGTGACTGTGTATATACATACTAATAGATCATAGGTGGCAGGGGGTTTAAGGGTGAGGGGAGGATCTCGAACTACTTCGCAAAGTTTCTGAATTATTAATAGTGGGGACTATTAAACTACTTTAGAGACACTAATTATTTTTTAAATCCAAGCCAGCTTCGATTCATCAGTCATGTTACACACTGCAGTTATACTGTTTAGTATTTTGCTTTTATGATATTTTCTTATAAGATTGTCAATCGAGTCTTGTCATGGTTGATTAAACATCAAAACTTACACTGCGTCTCTAATTAATCAAACGAAATTAAATGAGCTAGCTGCGATATTAAATGTAATTTCTTTCTTTGATCTTTAAATAATCACAATAAATATAACAGTTTGTATGATTTTTACTTTCTCATGTTCGTTCTTAGGGCCGTAAATGACCATGTCGATCATTTCCTTAGTGTCGTTGGCTATAACTGCTTCCAAACTTTCTGCTCTCCTTCCGAATCCAAAATCTCTTAGGTTGCGGAAAGTGAATCGTCTTTGGACATGCCAAAAGTATCCATCGGTGAAAAATATACCTGTGAAAGGAATATATTTTAAAATCAAGTAAGTTTTTTAGTGCGGCTTCATTTTATAACTAGATACTATGATCATTAAATTTTATTTCTACTTATTAATTTGTTTTACGTTTATTATCTCGCGTTACATTTATTTTTTAAGTCAGAGGTTTTTAAATTATGTTATCCTTTTTTCAATTACTTTTTATTTTAAACTTTTTAGAGAGCATAGATAACATTTTTAGAGAGCATAGTTAGCAACATGGATTTGCACAAACAATCGATGCTGCAGCGCTCCCTGGTGAGGCGTTACCGTAACACGTATCTACACACAGAAAATGCACCATTTAATCCCAAACCCATAACTGAAAACTGCATCAAAATCGGACTAGTAGTTTTCGAGAAAAATGGCAACATGGCACAAACAAACATCCTCTCGCCCCAAACGTATATACCGTCTCCTTTCCAACGTGGGTAAATAAAACAATAAACTCAAAGAGATGTAATTAACAGGTATTGTATAAAACAGAATAGGTAGAATTACGGAATTTATAAGAGGTATACTCGTATTCTTAAGAGGAATATCAATAATAAATAAAAGGAACAAATTGAAATCATAAAAATACAATATAAAATATACAAAACCTAGGAATAAAGAATTATCACATTTCTGAGACTCGCTAAAAAGCTCACATATGCTGAAAACTGATAATTCAAGAAAGTATTATTAAATAACCACGAACAAAAAGGTCGGGACAGGTCACTGGCAAAGGGTCAATTTCCACCGTCTTACGTTTTAGAAATCCAATAATCCATCATTCATTATAAAAAAATATTTTTTGAATGATCTTATGTTAATTCAAAAAATAAATATTTATAATTATATTAGTAATTAAAAAATCAACTTATTATTAATTACAACGTCAATTTATGAAAATAATATAACGCCTACAAAAAATCATGAGCAACGTCACATTTGGAGCGCCAAAATGTTTGTTGCGCTTTGTGTGTACTCTACTACTGTGATACTCTATCTGCTTATTTTATAATTTTTGTTCAATTCGGCTTGATAAATAAAATACAATCTTAAAAACATACTAATATTATAAATGTGAAAGTGTGTTTGTTTGTCCATCTTTCACGTCTAAACAGAGTGACGGATTGCCGTGATTTTTTTGTGTGAAGATATAGGGCTAGAGAATGACATAGGCTACTTTTTATCGCGGGAGATTATTTTATGCCCACGGGAAAAAACCGTATAATGCAAACCAAAAAATTATTTGGGATCAGAATTACTTGAAACTTGGTATAAATACTCTTCAGTACACATTAATAAATACGTGTTTTAGCATTTTTCGAAATTCATCCTATACATAAAACAAAATTAAATTAGAATAGAAGATAAAAGTTTGTTGAAAGGGGCCATCCATAAATTACGGAGGGGAGGGGGTTGTCAAAGTGTGACATTGTGTGACAAGGGGCTGAGGAGAGTCATAAGCTTCGTTACGTCACATGTCAAAATCTAAAGTATTAAAATACAAAACATTAACTGTAAACAAAAAATTAAAAAAATAATCTTTCTTTACACTGTAATATAAGGTTCATATTGCTCTGTTGGCGAGTTCTCGCGGGGCAGCAAGCGGTTCGCTGCCTGCACCACGATGTTAATATTGATATTATTAATAAAATATTTTTGTTGTATATTAATGTTAACCTTACAAAAATTAATTTTAGAAACATATTCCAATTTCCAATATACACAAATCAATGAAAAAATAATAAATTTAATAAACCACTACAAAGACAAAAACAATATTTAAAAATATTACAATTACAAAGAAAAAATAATATTATTTTTATCGCCGGACCTCATTATTAAATAGTCAACATATGAACTATACAAAATTATTTTGCATAACAACGTGTTGAATGATGAGCTCATAATACAGCAAACATTACCAAACAAACAAAAAACCATTATTCACTTTCGGAACTGGTCTGTAGGATACTTTTTATAAAGTAACAAGTGCTAATATAAAATATTTCGAACCACAATCAATTTACTCGAATTTCTTAAGGATTTTCATCGCCTATCTCCGAATTCGATCATCACTATATTCGTATGGGCCCAACACGCGAATATACATTTTTAAATTATGAAAGAAACACGTAAGTCGGCCCGAAGACCATGGTGTTATCGATGTACATACAAATAAGAAATAAAACGAAAAATACCGACCCAACATATAACCTTCCTTTTTTTTTTCGAAAGTCGATTAAAACACGATCAAAAGACGAGTTTGGCGGAACAGAATCTTCGAAGTGCGTGTCCGTCCGTTTTACACTTGCCTGCTTTTTAATGATGTAAGAAAAGATAAATGTTTTTCTTTTGAAAATTATTTAAGCCAACAAAATACATTCTAATATTTAGAGACGGAAAATTTGTTTTCAAGTCAAATAAACTTCGCTTGAATGCGGGTGCAATCGGGGACAATCATAATATCTTAGGAAGGTTATTAGGTTAACGGTATACATTAAAATATATATCGGATGTTTTTTGGTGTTATAAAAACATGTATTAGAACAAGTTAATAATATTACTTATTAATCTGTACATATATTTAAAAATAAGTTTGTATATTTCCAGATTTTTTCATGGATTTATTTTGATTATTGGTTCCCGATGTTTTGAAAGCTTTACAGAAATCATAGAGACAAGTTTTTAGACGTCTCTATCGAAACGATCCTAGGAAAAAATTGATAAGAATGAAAATAATAGGAAATATAATTTGAAACAAATTTTGCAATAACTATTTTTCGTGTAAAATTGAAAATAAACGAGTTATTTAATAAATAAAAATCAACCCTTAAATTCAAGATGGCGGATGTCGTAACGGGTCTTTTTGCAATGTTTGCCTCTTTTTCGAGCTAATTCGACTGGGCTATTATTTCTAACTGTTTACTTCGTGACCATATCAACTGAAGTGAGTTCGAATCTCGGGTATCGCACGTCTGATATTTATCGATGTGATTATTAATCCAGTTACTGTACGACTAACATATAATTTGAGCGAGGCGTAGCGTAGCTCCTACTCTCGTTAGGTCTTTTTTTATTTCAAACCTAGAACTCCCAATATCATAATTGCTAGATTTGGAGACAGTTTCGACCCGAAAATTACATCGTGTCGGATTGTATCAGAAGTATTGGCTGACATCGACTTCGAAAATATCTGCTTAAGTATCTGTAGTAAATGAAAACCTCCGTTCAGTTATTTTTTACTTTTTAGTTCTTGCAAGTTGGTTTTGTTAAGATTTTTTTAATTTTTTTCTTGGACGATTGATCGTCTTGCCTTAGGTGAATTAGATGCCCACAAAGTTTTGAAACAACTTCACGATCTACGAGCATACCAAAAATGTTGCGTTTACGTAGCAAACCTACTGCTACAACTTCATCCAATTTGCCATTGAGAAATAATAATCCACTCTCGTAGCTCATATCGTATGGCTCGGCAGTCTTATTAATTTATAGTTCTCGCTGCGTATTTGTATCACGAAACCAGCTTTCGGTCAGAGGTTTAACGGTCATTTTGATTTTTTTACATGCGCACTAAAATTTGACCAAGGTTTTAACTTTTGACATGTTTTCCCTTTGACATTATATCCGTAACTCGTATCAATATAGACCAGACCAGACCGTTACACGTTTTAGTCCATATCATAAGAAGTATTGAACCGATTTTTATAAAATCTTTACTATTCCCTAAGTTGAAATAAATTTAAGCAAATAAAAAAGAATGATGATCCGATTACTAGTTTCAGAGAAATGCGTGGACAAACAATACATACATACAAACATTATATATACATATATATAAATTTATATATATATATATATATATATATATATATATATATATATATATATATATATATATATATATATATATATCCAGGAGCCCCAGTAGAGTATCATACATGTAAATATCAGTTCCAATAATATTAGGTACATGTATAACGTATGTACATATGTATCTAATTGATAACCTCTTTTTTTGAAGTCGGTTAAGAAAGAAACTAAATTGAACAAGGTTCCAAGCAAAATTATATGTATAGGATGTACAATTATTAATCTAAAAACGTACATAATGCAATAATCGTTCGGCTCTTGAAGATAAAAGCAGATAAATTATTATACTATCGTACGAGTTACTGTTGTTGTTTTCGTAATGATTGTATTTGTCATTCTAAATATAAAGTTATAATACAAAGGAGTTCCGTACTATAAGAAAAATGATCTTTAGGTGCAATAAATTCTTAGCGCGAGTACCTAAGTTAAACTGCTTACATCAGTATAACGGCCTCGTTAGTCTAGCAGATACTGGTTAGTATACACGGTCACAGATCCAGACGTTATGGGTTCGAGTTCCCCTGGCAACCCATATGTAGTTATTGAGTTTTCTACCAAGAACTTCTCAGTAACCGGTGTTGCAGACTTAGTGGTATTTCACTACCGAGTCTCGGAGAAGAAATGCATATAAAGCCGTCGGTTCTTCACATTGATCTCTCAACCGATCGGGTCGAAATGTCATCAGACTTTGAGGGTAAACGGAGTAGATAGTGCAATTGTGTTTACCAGCATATTTATATATTATAATAATATCTTCTGCGCAATAGGAAGATTCAACAGTTCAGTTCAGTTTTCGCCATTTGTTGAACCTCTTAAAACGACGCAATACATTATTTCTTATATCAAGTAACATGACCGCGCACGATAAGCTTACTTAAAATACGACCTTTTGATGTTTTTAACTTTACGCAATCATGATATATGGCCGTTATGTATAAAATAAAATCTCGTTTTTAACAAATTCATTTTTAATTTATTTTAGCACAGTCAAGTATAGCGTACATTTAAAAGAAGGCTCCTAACTAGCCAAATGTTCAGAATTTTAATTGTTGTTTCACAACTTGTGTTTGGACTTCTATACATATTCTATACACATATTTTATATAGACATTTTATAATAATTATTAGATATTTATTAGTCTTTGTCATATTATCTAGCACATAATATTGTAATTATAATAAGGCATAATTATTGCTTTTAAATTGTAATTACATAGTATACAATAATAAGTTAACGTTTTCTTTGTTTCTTGTTTATAAACTAAGTAATACCTACACTAAGTATTACTTTGTTTATACTTTAGTGGATTATCTAATAAATTATATTTGCATTTGATACTTATATCTAAATCTATTAGAATCAAATGCAAACAACAATGTAGTTACTTACCAAATATCTTCAAATACGAGCGTAACCGCGCTACGAAAATGTCATTGCGGCCGTCCAAATCCGGATTATTTAGGCCTTCTCTAATTAATTTTGGATCATCTATGACTATCGTAGGGAAATTTCCTAGGTACATTCCTACGACAGTAGTTTTGTAGTATAGAGCTAGTTTTCTTATAGATCCCCCCAAGTTGTTGAACTCTCGCGCCAGGACGATCCAGTAAGCACCCCATATTGGCAGGCTAGGTGGTCCTGGAATATTTTAACACGCTTTTATTAGCTTCACTTGTATCTAATAATGTAATAAAAACTCTCTAAAAGTCAATTTTAACGTACTTTTAATTGTCGTATCGAAGTAAAATTTTGTATGTGCCTACATAATTTTTGACGACACGTTTGGCTCAGTTTGTAGTGACCCTACTTGCTGTGCCAGCGGTCGCGGGTTCAAGTCCCGCAGGGGGCATTCATTTGTGTGATGAGCACGAATGCTTGTACTCTAGTCATGGGTGTTTATATTTATATATGTATGTATTTAAAGTTATACATGTATGTATTTAAAGTTATATATGTGTAGTGTATCAACTATCTGGTATCCATAACACAGTTAAAGTCATCCATAACTAAGTTAAGTCCGCTAATACTATATCATTATCAATCTTCTTTTTATTTATATTCTGGTTTTTATTTTATTTAGCATGCGGCTCCCCGACGCGGCGACGCTCATCATCAAAATATTAATAATTCGTTTGAGAGCTACGATGCCACAGACAGACACACACACAGAAACACAGACACGTTAAAGTTATACACATTAAAAAACATTATACACGTTAAAAATAAGTTGCTCAGGACGCCTAAATTGACGCATAAAATTCGCCATTTTATAAAATTTCGATATTTTTATAATTAAAAATTACACGCGTTTATGATGACACAACTAACAACGTATTATTCATCAAAATCGCTACAGCCGCTTAAGAATTAAAGGTAACGTAGAGACGGGACATACATTCATAAGGAGACATACATACAGATCAAACAAATACCTAACGCTCCTCTTGGGCTGCACTGTAGTCGGGTAAATACAGAAATTTCAGTCCAAAGTCCAAATAAGCTTATTTAATTGCAGTTTACATTAAAAATTGCAATAATAAAAGCTGCTTTATTTTGTGGATACATACTTTGTACGTACTAAACTGAACGAATTATATAACGAGGGGGCTATTTTAAAAAGAAGCTTGGAAGAAAGCATATTAAATGTAATTACTACTAGTAACAGCACAGAAACTGGAGTCATCCTTGAACAGAAAGGTGGTTTAAAATGGTGCAGCATAAAATATAAGAAATTATAACTTAAAGTGCAAACTTATCTAATTTATTATAATTGACGATAATATGACGACACGTTTGGCTCAGTTTGTAGTGACCCTACTTGCTGCGCCAGCGGCCGAGGGTTCGAGTCCCGCTGGGCGTATTCATTTGTGTGATGAGCACGAATGTTTGTACTCGAGTCATGGGTGTTTATATTTGTATTTAAAGTTATATATGTATAATGTATCAACTATCTGGTATCCATAACACAAGCCTTGTAGCTTACCATGGAACTAAATGATGTTGTGTTAATGTCTTGAGTCTTGACATATTTATAATTATTTATTGATTATTTATTAATAAAAAATAAAAATATATTAGTTTTCATTGTAATATAAAATTTCGCTTAATTAATTTTTATATTCTTCCACAAAACTTTTATAAGATACTGTAAGTAAAACTTGAAGAATCTTTTTAAGATTTATTAAGTAAAACCACAATAGTAATCACTCACCGGGTGGGAAATTTTTTGCGGGTCGTTGAAAGGCACTTTTGTACCATTTGACACCCAAAAATGTAATTACGGCAATAATGGCAACGAGTCCGATCATCTTGCCCGAGCCCCGTTGACTGATAAGTGATGCTAGTTTCCAAACAATCATTAATATATATATCTGATTCGACAGCGAGTAATATAAATTTAACAAGTATTTTGATGCTACTGTAAAAGTACGAATTTGGACATTATTATATTTAACCCATGTCACATTCAATTATTTTTTTAAATTTACCTAATATTTACCTAATATTTTTAAATTTACCTAATATTGTTTGCGTTAAATATTTTTGAAATGTTTAATGTCCGATTTCACCAACGTCACCTAAGTTTAAGGGATGCCCTAAGCATGGTTAGGGGACTGTTAGGCGACAGTTTCTGTTTCACCGACAGTTAGGGGTCATCAAAATGTTAAAAGGCCCCTTAAATGTAGGTGCTCGAAATATGGACTTAAAGACAACTATTATGGTAAAACGAAATTTAATTTAGGGGCTAGTTTAGGGGAATTTTTAAAGCTAGGGATCCCATACGTAGGTGGTAGCTTATGGGTTGTTGGTGAAATCGGGCATAAGAGTTTTTCTTACATATTATATGATATTGTTTTTGGCACATTACACTCAAACAGTATACCTACACAAACCTTCTACGAATGTAAATGTTTTTTGGGTGTCTTTTTAAAAATAACCTGTCCAAGACCACTAGATAGGCCACTGATTTAATATCAGGTCAATATAAAAAAATACAAAGAGCAATAACTAAAAATCTTCGCTGACATATTTGTAAATTTCATTAAATAGCTTTTGGTTAGATTTTTGTTTGTTAACCCTTACTAATGAACAATTGCAATTACAAAAGAAAAAGAATTATAATAATAAAAAGCCCGACTGCAAAAAAGCGGACTAAAAATATGAGAAAAAGTTGACGAAGGAACATAGTATTATACAGTTGGAGACATATGACCTGCGAGTCTTGCTAAGTGTATGTATTCGTATGTCTCTGTATTCGTATATATTTTTATTTACAGCTTTTTAGTTTTGGTCAGTTTGACATTTTTTGTTTTATTATCAATTTCTTATCCTAAATTACTTTTAAACATATAAATTGCATGTATTTTTGTAGTCTTCTCTTTTGCACTCGCACTCAATTGATTCGGACGGTAATTTTTTTTCAAGGCACAAATTTTGACATATATACATCTTATGATACTCGCTTTATCAAGAAGAGTCGAACGACGACGTATGAACCATTAAAATTGGTTAAGCCGTTTAGCAAATACGAGGGAACATAGGGTTGAACATACATACATGTTAAAACATAAACCTCCTTTGCGCTTCGCCGTAGTTGGGTAAAAATAAATTTGCAACAAAGTTCAAAAATTTTTTTACTTAGTTTCTGTCATGTCTATAAAAATCTATTTAAATTCATTCTGCTATTTTAAAAATATGCACGTATACTAACTTGACAATCACAATGACTGGCAGACACATGAACAATTTAGTACTACAGCGTATGTTGCAAGCTAATAAGTAAACTCCACGCTAATAGATTCAAATATTTTTTCTTCAACCTTAATTCGGTTGTATTTTTTTATGTGTGTTACCTCAGAACTTTTTTGTTTTAAAGTGTATGAAAATGTTTCCGATGATAGTGCAGTGATTCGGTATCGTCGAGCTGATCTCATGGTGAGTCCAGAAGGATAGTGGAACTCTTCTACGGTTACTCGTAGATACTTTGAGTTTGGGCTTATTTGATTTTATTTGAAAAGCCCAATTCATTAGAACTGGGCTGGGAATTGTCTGACAAATGATAAATAATATCATATTCTTTCCTTCCACTTAAAGTTATAGGTACGTATAGTTCTGTGAAGTGGAGTATAATTCATTGTAATAACAAATGCATCGTTTTTGTTCCAAAAAGTCGACTATTATTTAGTTAATTAAACATACTAGCGGGCACATTTGAATAGGCATCCCGGTCAAAACTTATTGTCTCTTTTATTATTGTATATAAAAAATAGATTTCGATTAAATACGCTATGAACGTAGCAATTTTGCAGCGGGATCTTAGTCCATATAGAAGTCAATAACTTCAATATAAAATATTACTTATTATTATTTTTTATTAAATGTCATTATTTAAAAAAAAGCCTACTGATCAATTAATTTATTATTACTGCAACTATAATGATAATGTCATACCAAGTTAAAGGTTAGATAAAAAATAAATTGTTGACACCCAAAAAAAAGATTCTGTTAAAACAAGTCATCTTGCCCATCGACAATATTATAATTTTTTTAATGTAAGATAGGTGCTAGTGAAAAAAAACTTATAAATATTTAAAATTATCATCAGCTCATTTTTTTACAGATTTTACGGAAAGTATTAAGGCATTGTGGGTTACGTGAGGTAAGTAATGTTTTTATGTACCTTGATTACCTGATACCTGGAAATTGGCCGTCTAACCAAGCTACCACATAGGCATGCGATCTTAGTACATACTAACACTACTCAATCGTCTACATTTCGTTCGTCGTCAGAAAATACGTGACGTCTGGACTCTGGTGGCCCTGGGATCTTGGACCTTAAGGAATGTATTGATGTGCATGATTTTTACCCGTAATAGTCATTTGTCCTTAAGGAAGTGTTTAAAGCAAAAAAAGTATGTTTGAAAAAATGTGACCTACCTACGTGGTTTTTGAAATGATCGATTCACTGTGTGTGGTATTTACCTTTAAAATATAAAAAAAAAACAATATGTATACTACATTTTTTTCGAAGTTCATCCTTTAAAAGGGCAAAAGTGGAGGGTAAAATTTATATGATTAATGATCTTCAATTCAATTAAATAAATATATATGTGTTTAACATTTTTTGTAATTCATCCTGTAAGGGGGTACAACATGTGTCGTAAAGTTGATAAAAGAAAATCCGCCATTTTTAATGTTGAAATTAAGCATTCAAGATATAAACTAAGGAATAATCTGATTGTAGGTGTTATCAATCAGATTATTCGGAATTCGTCCCCTGAGAGGGTAAAAATATTATCAGACTCGAGGTGACTTTAAAATCGAAATTAATGCTATTGACTCTTAATTAACAAAATATTTAAATACTTAAACTGGCATTTTTAAATGATAATTGATTTTGGCCGAATTAAGAAGTAATCGGGGGATCGCCTTTGCTGTGGTCTCATCTGGAATTACTATTACACTAGTAGAAGTAAAAAAAAGAGTAGAAGGTAATATAACGGCTTACGTTGCGTTTAAACTCCCGCTCAATCTTACCCGAGTCGAAATACCCGAACGATTACTTTACTAGGGTGAACCAAAAAGTTCTTAGAAAACCATGGGTATATATAAAACCTTTTTGGGGATAGTTCGATATTCGTTTTAAAGAGTATTATTTAACAATATTTATGCCAAGTATCATTTGTTTTTATCAATTTATTCGCACACAATTAATTATTTTTTACAACGAGTAGCTTAAAACGCAAAATTATGAGAAAAGTGAGTGATTTGCGGTAACAGTGTATCTATGACTGAAAAAAATGTCCCGACGAACAATTTTTTTCGGACATTCTGAAGACATTACGGGATGATGCTGTACCCTATTCTACCTTTGCGTATTGGGTGGATGAATTTAAAAGAGGTAAATTAAACTATAAAGATGACCCGTGTTCTGACCGCCCTTCAACCTGCGTCACGGAAGAAAGCATCAAAAAGGTTGAGAATCTGGTTTTGGAAGACAGAAGAATAACCATAAAACATTTAGCTGAGATCCTAAAGATGTTATTTGGTAGCATTCAATCCATTTTGGTCATCATTCATTCATCATTCGTCTTGTCACCATGGATGAAACGTGAGTCTACCATTTTGATCCTGAAACTAAGAGACAAGGTATGTCTTGGAAACGACCATTATTTCCATCCATAAGGAAATTTCCATTGCTCCTACCGCCGGTAAAGTTATGGCCTCAGTGTTCTGAGATAGTGAAGGTATCCTTTTTATTGATTACATGCGAAAAGGCCAGACGATTACTGGATCCTATTAATCAAATGCCTAAAGCGCGTGAAGCAATTAAATAAAAACGTCGTAAAAAACTATCGTTAGGCGTGTTGTTCTTCACAATAAGTTAAAATAGTTTTAAAAACACCTTTTCCTAGATTGGCAGAGCTTCTTGGTCCAAATCAGATTTCATATACATATATACGAGTATGTGACATTAATTTGCCTTTGTAATTTTTAATTCTCTAGTTTTCAGCCATTACCTGGATAATATCTAAGATTGATGATTGATGATAACCATTTTGGTTCACTCCAATCAGTTGATTACATTATTCAAAACTGCACTGGATCTCATGCTATCTGATAATTACAAAATTGTAATCAGAGCTGATAAAACTCCGTCCGCATGCTAGACGTTTCAATGCACCAACGTTGCCATTCGCAATAATTATTTATATGCTACTCTACTAGCAGAATCCGCGGCTACGCCCGCGTTCAATCGATAAAAAAACTCTTTAGCTTTATGTTATCATCCCCTATTTTACCCTCTTAGACCCGTAATGAACTTAACAACAAAAAAACGCTGAAATACGTAACTCATTATTTTTGCCGTACTCAATACATACAAAATTTCATGCAAATATGTCCAAGGAATAAGAAATTTCATATAAACTTTTATCCCCTATTTCACCAAATTGGGGGTTTAATTTTGAAAAATTCTTCCTTAGTGAATGCCTTCGACATATGAGGAATACGTGTGCCAAATTTCAATTTTCTAGTCTTAAGGGTTTGGCCTGTGCGTTGATACATCAATCACTTTTGCCTTTTATATAAATACTCGTAGATTGAAATCGTCCCCAGGGATGCATCCGAGCGAAGCGAGGTTAAATCTTAAGTTACTATACTAACAATTCTATAGGTATTACAATTAAAACAATTGTATACGTAATAGTCATTGTTTAAAAAAATATTTATGTATAGATTTCGCTTTGTTACTAGTTTATCATATTTATTTATATAATTATAAAAGATACTGTAGGAGGCAAGGATA